TAGGAAGAAATCTTTAGAGTGAAACCTGTGAGGTTCAGTGTGCTTACTAGGGATAAGTGAGAGATGTTTTCATAGAGGGTTGGTAACAGGAGGAGAAACGAAAATCTCCAGCAGCCCTGAAGCAGGTGGACAAGTGTGGTGATAGCCTCTGGTTCCCTTAACAAATGTCTTTCCTTTCCTGTTTTTGTCTGTTTGTCTGCTATCTGTCTCTCTAAATTTTTTTATATTTCAACCTCAGAAAGCCTAATTATTTTTTAAAATGCTTATTTGTTTATTTTTGGCTGTGTCAGGTCTTTGTTGCTGTGCATAGGCTTTCTCTGGTTGGCGAGCAGGGGCTACTCTTCGTTGCGGTGCACAGGCTTCTCATTGTGGTGGCTTCTCTTGTTGCAAAGCACGGGCTCTGGGCACGCAGGCTTCAGTAGTTGTGACTCCTAGGCTCTAGAGCAGAGGTTCAATAGTCGTGGCGCATGGGCTTATTTGCTCCATGGTATGTGGGATCTACTCATTGTGGTGGCTTCTCTTGTTGCAGAGCATGGGCTCTAGGCACGCGGGCTCAGTAGTTGTGGCTTGAGGGCTCTAGAGTGCAGGCTCAGTAGTTGTGGCACACGGGCTTAGTTGCTCCACGGCATGTGGGATCTTCCCAGACCAGGGATTAAACCCATGTCCCCTGCATTGACAGGCGGATTCTCGACCACTGTGCCATCAAGGGAAGTCCCGCCTAATTATTTCTTAATCTATGAATCTATAATCTTCATAGATTTCCTGAAATACATTCCTTAAGAGAATGTGAAACCTATCTGAAGGAAAAAAAAAAGAAATCTACTAACCCAATTGTTTGCTGTGAGAACAGTGGCTGCAGGTGTGGAAAGGGGGGGAATCTGAACCCTGGGTAAATGTTTTGAAATGCCATGATCTCATCTTTTTGCTGGAAGGTGATTAATCACTTCATCTGTAATTGCAGTAATAGTGTCTGCAAAGGGATTTGAGATCATTTCTGGAAAACATTTGTGAGTTATGCAACCACTGAAAGCTATTAAAAGTGATTAATAAAGATATCTTAACAGGAGAGCAGAACAGATAGGGAAGAAATTATTTTTGAAATAAAAATCCTAATGGAAAAGGAGCAGAAGACACTGAAATCTAATAGTTGAGAGAAGAAAGAAAAAAACTGAGCACATCCTATCCATCTTTCTTCGTCAATTCAGCGTTTGAATCCAAAATATGATTTTTTTCCATTCCTGAGAACCCTTGAAGGTATTGAAACTGATTGGGTGAGACAGGAATGAGCAGTGTTGGAAAAAATAGCAAACAATGTTACAAATGAACAGGAACTTCCGGTTTTCATGTTTGTTCAGTGCTTCAACATATATTCATTGCGTACCTTGTCAGGCACATTCCTAGATATATATGAATGCACAGAACATAATAAGTAAAAAAAATGCATCCTCATGGAAATTGCATTCTGGTTAAGGGAAACACACAACAAGCAATGTGCTAAGTTGTTAAATTACATAGTATCTTAGACGGTAATAATAGGTCTTAGGGAAAGAGAAAAGAAGAACCACATAGAGGTGAAGAAAAGTATAGGGGGTAGGGAAGAACTGCAATAGTAAATTGGGTCTCCATAGTAGGAGTCAGGTGTAGATGAAATTTGAGGAAATAATTAAGGTGGTTAGTGATAAAGTGTTTATTCCTTCCCAAACGTTATATATATTTTTTCTTGACTTATTTCACTAGAGAGAAACACCAATGTAACAATGAATAAAAGTGCATAGAGCAGTTCACAATGTGTGGGGAAGTATTTTATAAGGGACAAAGAGGCATGACATTTGCAATAGCACTTTTGTAGAAGCATTATATAAGATAAAAGAAGATCCCTTCTGTATTAGTTTGATTTCCCTCTCCTCTCCATCTCTCTCTCCTCACACACACACCAATTAAAAAAACAAAACCAAAATAAAACAAAAAACACACTGGAAAAAGTATTTTGAGCTGAATAGAAAAAAAACACTCAAAAGAAGAAAATTTGTGAGAGGTTTCTTTTTTGTTGCATTCATTCATTATTTTTTAACGTTTATATTAGGTTCAGGTGTATAACATTGATTCATTATTTTTGTGCCTTATGAAATGATCACCTCAGTAAGACCAGTTACTATGTTTGAGCACTGGTTACAATATTATTGACTATATTTCCTATGTGCAAATTGCATCCTCATGACACTCATTTTATATCTGGAAGTTTCTACCTTGTAAACTGCTTCACCTATTTTGTCCAACCCTTCAGCCCCCTCCCCTCTTGTAACCATGAGTTTGTTCTCTGTATCTATGAATCTGTTTCTGTTTTGTTTGTTCATTTGTTTTGTTTTTTAGATCCAACATAGAGGTAAAATCATATAGTATTTCTTTCTCTGACATTTCATTTAACATAACACCCTCCAGGTCCATCTATGTTGTTGCAAATGGCACGATTTTTTATGGCTGAGTGATATTCCATTGTGTGTGTTATACATAGCTACACACACACATACATACCACATCTTTATCCATTCATCTATTGATAAACTTAGGTCCTGTCGATATCTTGGCTATTGTAAACAATGCTGCAATGAACATAGGGGTGCATATGTCTTTTCAAATTAGTGTTTTTGTTTTCTTCAAATAAACTGAAGTGTAATTGTTCAACCATTGATAGTTCTATTTTTAGTTTTTTGAGGAACCTCCATACTGTTTTCCACAGTGGCTGGGCCAATTTACATCCCCATCAACAGTGTTTGAGGGTTCCCTTTTCTCCACATTCTGGTCAACACTTGTTTCCTTTTTAAAAAAGGTGAGTGGGGGCTACTCTTTGTTGCTGTGTGTGGGCTTCTCATTGCAGTGGCTTCTCTTGTTGTGGAGCGTGGGCTCTAGGCACATGGGCTTCAGTAGTTGTGGCTCACAGGCTCTAGAGCACAGGCTCAGTAGTTGAGGTGCATGGGCTTAGTTGCTCCATGGCATGTGGGATCTTCCCGGATCAGGGCTTGAACCCATGTCCCCTGCATAGGCAGGCAGATTCTTAACCACTGCACCACTAGGAAGTCCTGTTGTTTCTTTTTGATAAGCCATTCTGACATGCATGAGGTGGTATCTCATTGTGGTTTTGATTTGCATTTCTATCATGATTAATGAAGTTGAGCACATTTTCATGTGCCTGTTGGCCATCTGTATGTCTTCTTCGGAAAAATGTCTATTCTGCTTCTTAGCCCGTTTAAAAAAAATTTTATTTTAAATATAGAGTTGTATGAGTTCTGTATGTATTTTGGATTATCAACCCCTTATTGGATATATCATTTGAAAATATCTTCCCGCATTCAGTAGGCTGCCTTTTCATTTTGTTGGTGGTTTCCTTTGCTATGCAAAAGCTATTTAGTTTAATGTGATCCCACTTATTTATTTTTGCTTCTGTTGCCATTGCCTGAGGAGACACATCCAAAAACTATTACTAAGACTGATGTCAAAGAGGTTACTGCCTATGTTTTCTTCTAAAGAGTTTTATGGTTTTGGGGTCTTAAAGTTAAGTCCTTGGGGCTTCCCTGGTGGCGCAGTGGTTGAGAGTCTGCCTGCCGATGCAGGGGACACGGGTTCGTGCCCCGGTCTGGGAGGATCCCGCATGCCACGGAGCAGCTGGGCCCGTGAGCCATGGCCACTGACTCTGCGCATCCGGAGCCTGTGCTCCACAACAGGAGAGGCCACAACAGTGAGAGGCCTGCATACCACAAAAAAAAAAAGAAAAAGAAAAAAAAATTAAGTCCTTAATCCATTTTGAGTTTATTTTTGTATGTGGTGTAAGTGGTCTAGTTTTATTCTTTTTTTAAAATAAATTTATTTATTTATTTATTTATTTATTTATTTATTTATGGCTGTGTTGGGTCTTCATTTCTGCACGTGGGCTTTCTTTAGTTCCGTCAAGTGGGGACTACTCTTCGTTGCAGTGCGCAGGCTTTTCACTGTGGTGACTTCTCTTGTTGCAGAGCACAGGCTCTAGGCACATGGGCTTCAGTAGTTATGGCACATGGGCTCAGTAGTTGTGGCTCACAGGCTGTAGAGTGCAGACTCTGTAGTTGTGGTGCACAGGCTTAGTTGCTCCGCGGCATGTGGGATCTTCCCGGACCAGGGCTCAGACCTGTGTCCCCTGCATTGGCAGGCAGATTCTTAACCACTGTACCACCAGGGAAGCCCCCTAGTTTTATTCTTTCACGTGTAGCTACCTAGTTTTCCCACCACCATTTATTGAGGCAACTGTCCTTTCCCAATTGTACACTCTTGCCTCCTTTGTCATAGATAAATTGATCATATGACTGTGGGTTTACTTCTGGACTTTTTACTCTGTTCCATTGATCTGTGTGTCTGGTTTTGTGACAAGACCATACTGTTTTGATTATGATAGCTTTGTAGTATGGTTTCAAGTCTGGGTGCATGATACCTCCAGCTTTGCTCTTCTGTCTCAAGACTGCTTTGGGTATTTGGGGTCTTTTGTAGTTCCATACAAATTTTAGAAATATTTGTTCTAGTTCTGGTGAAAAATGTCATTGGTATTTTGATAGGGATTGCACTGAGTCTGTAGATTGCTTTGAGTAGTATGTATATTTTCATGATATTGTAGCATGGTACATCTTCCCATTTGTTTGTGTCATCTTCAATTTATTTCCTCAGTGTCTTATAGTTTTTAAACTAGAAGTCTTTCACCTCCTTGGTTAAATTTATTACTAGATATTTTATTCTTTTTGATGCAACTGTAAATGAGATTATTTTCTTCATTTCTATGACAGTTCATTATTAGTGTACAGAAATACAACAGATTTCTGTGTACTAATTTTGTATTCTGCAATTTTAGTCAATTCACTTAGCTCTAACAGTTCTTTGGTGGAGTTTTTGGGGTTTCTATATATACAGTGTCATGCCATCTGCAAATAGTGAGTTTTACTTCTTCCTTCTGTAAACTGAAATTTCAGAAACAGACCTGATTGAAATAAAAAGGCATTTATTTGGTGTTTGTTAAGAATGTAGTCCAGGAGGGAATTCCCTGGCAGTCCAGTGTTTAGGACTCTGCCCTTTCACTGCCAAGGGTGGGGGTTCAATCCCTGGTCAGGGAACCAAGATCCCGCAAGCCATCCCCCACCCCCCAAAATGTATTTAGTCCAGGACACACAGAGTCAAGGAGCATGTGAATTGTATTCTACTATACTACAAAATGGAGAAAGGTTAAAATGGAAGGCAAAAACTGCAAGGCCATAGTGAGTTACATAGTTGTCTGTCAGGAATTATAATTGGAGCAAGCAAGAAATAAGGCTGCTTGTTAACAAGGATTGGTTGGGGTCCAAAATGGTTGCAGAGTTACAAGGGGAAATTTTAGACAAAAAGGGTGAAGCTTCTGGGTGTTCTAAATATGGCTGATGGTGTCCTTGGGTTTGGTACAATTTAAAGAAAGTTCAAATTCTCAGTGATGCCGGGATGTGTCTGAGATCTGATCCTCAATGGCTGCTCAACTCCATTTTGTACACCTGAGTATGATTACACCATTACAATTTCAATTTGTCATTCCTCAAGGTAAAGATTTTATGACAGATGAATAATTCCAATATTAGGATTATCAGGATTAAAGAAAACATGAGGAAGGGGTAAAAAGGCTTATTGACCCTCAGTGTGACAAAGTCAAGTGTATAGGTACCTCAGTTAACAAAAAGAAAAACAGTCTGAAACTATCAACAAAGTTGGGGTTACAGGACTGGTCTCGACTCTTGCGATGAGCTGTCTACTCAGATGTCATCTGCTTCTGACCCAGGGAAGTTTTTCTTGTTCTGACGAAGGTCATCAATGGGTTGGGAGGTCCACTCAGGATTGGTAGCCTTTTAAAAATGAGAAACGTGACTCCATGATTGAACACCAAAGGTTTTGCTGCACATGGCTTAGTGAACAACCTGTTAATACCTGATTAAAAACCTCTTTCCATTGAGGTTTCAAAGCATCTCCAGGGAGGTGTCTTTTCCAATAAATATAATCACCTGGTTGTAAATTATTTTCTTTAATGTCTTTGTCTCCTGGGAACTCTTTTTTTTTAAAAGGTTACTCACTTATAAAAGATTCTAGTACTAGTAAGCATGAAGCTTTAATGTTTTTAGTTAATTCTTGGCAATATGTTAAGAGGTCTCCTTTAACCACATTGGGCTTATGTAGTGCATTATATATTTTCATTGTTCTTCCCATAATTATTTCAAAGGAAGAAAGTCGGTGTTTACCAAAGGGGGTAGACCTTAGGCTGAGCAATACCAGGGGCAGGGCTTCCGGCCATGGTAGATTAAAAGATTCAACTAGTTTAGCCAATTAAGTCTTTTTAAAATTATTATTGAAATATACTTGATTTACAATGTTGTATTAATTTCTGCTGAACAGCAAAGTGATTCAGTTATACATATATATATATATATACTCTTTTTCACATTGTTTTCCATTATGGTTTATCATAGGATGTAGTTCCCTGTGCTACACAGTAGGACCTTGTTGTTTATCCATCCTATTCAATATATATTGTATAATAGTTTGCATCTGCTAATCCCAAACCCCCAATCCATCCCTCCCTAACCCCTTCTCCCCCTGGCAACCACAAGTCTGTTCTCTATGTCTGTGAGTCTGTTTCTGTTTTTATACATAAGTTCATTTGTGTCATATTTTAGATTCCACATAAAAGTGATATCATATGATATTTGTCTTTCTCTTTCTGACTTACTTAGTATGATAATCTCTAGTTCCATCCATGTTGCTGCAAATGGCATTATTTCATTCTTTTTTGTGGCTGACTAGTATTCTATTGTATATATGTACACCTTTTTTGTCCATTCTTCTGTCGATGGACATTTAGGTTGTTTCCATGTCTTGTTAGCCAATTGAGCCTTAATGGCTCTATATGTAAGTTCCACTAGCCCGGAGGACTGTGAATTATAGAGGCAGTGGAAATACTGGGGGGGAAATAAAAGGCCAAGTTTTACAGATTGACTGAATAATTTGCCCTGTAAAATGAGTTCCTTGATGACTATGAAGCTCAGATGAAATACTCCATGTAGAAATTATTTTTTCCAAAAGAATTTTGCCTACCAAAAGTGCTATAGCCCTGCAAAATGGAAATGTTTCAATCCAGTGAGAAAACATGCATACTAGTACAACTACATATTTATATCCCTGAGATAGTGGCAGTTGGATAAATTCCATTAATCATACCTCAAAGGGTCCTGAAGGCAAAGGAAAACAATCTTTAGGGAAATGGATGGGTTTACCTGGATTACGTTTTGGACAAAGGTTACACTTCAAATATACTTCAGTGGCTATTTTGTGGGATGGTTTTCAGTAGCATTGTTTTGCACGTATCATTTTATCTGGGCCCCCATGTATGTTCAATAATATGTTCCTGGAGGCTATGAGTCAAAACTGGAGTATTGTTAGACCCGTACCATAAATTATGATCTTCCCAAAATTTACATACCTGGTATAAGATTTGTCTTGTTCCTCTGGAGAAACATTGTTTTAGGTTTCTGCCAGTAAATCCCGTAAGCTAACATAAGGTTAGGTAATAATTAAAGCTTTTTTGAAGTGGGTCAGAGAGCAGCAGTCATTGCTACGGTATCGGCTAAATTATTTCCTTTCCTTTGAACCAAGCCTTGACTAACCTGAGATATTTATAATGGCCAGAAGTTTTAGTATTTTAATAGCTTCCAGAAGGTCCAATACATATTGGCTATTCTTAATAGTTTGTCCTGTGCAAGCCCTTGTCCAGGAAGATCCCACATGCCGTGGAGCAACTAAGCCCGTGAGCCACAACTACTGAGCCCGTGTGCCACAACTACTGAAGCCTGTGCGCCTAGAGCCCATGCTCCACAAGAAGAGAAGCCACTGCAATGAGAAGCCCACGCACCGCAACGAAGAGTAGTCCCCACTTGCCACAACTAGAGAAAAAGCCCCCGCGCAGCAACAAAGACCCAACGCAGACATAAATAAATAAATAAAATTTTAAAAAAAGGGGGGACATGGTGGCTGATGTCTCTTGTTTTTTTTTTTAAAAAAAAGCATACTGGCTATCAGTATAAATATTAACAATTTGATCTTTTGCTATAATGCAGGCTCAAGTAGTTAGAGGCTGTCTTTTTGAGAAGCCTGCATGCCTGAAGAGCAAAGAAGTTAGTTATCCACATATTGGAGTAAAGTGAAGTCATTTGGGAAAGTAACATCTGCAAGGTATGATTTTAAGGTCTGAGAAAAGTAAATAGGACTCTCCGTATATCCCTGGGGCAATACTGTCCAAGTGTACTGTTGATCATTCCAAGTAAAGGCAAAAAAGGATTGGCTGTCTGGATCCACTGGCATAACAAAGAAAGTACCACATAAATCAGCCATGTGAAAACCTTGCTGTCTGTGGGAACTGCAAATAAAGGGATATGGGAATTAAGGACTACAGGATGGCGGGATATGACTATATTATTGATGGCTATTTAATACTGAACAAAATGCCTCTTCCATTAGGTTTTCTAACTGGGAGGAAGGGGGTATTGCAAGGACTGGTGCAAGGAATCACTAGACCTTGTTTAATATAGTCTTTTATGATATGTTGAATTCCTTTTATAGGTTCCTGTTTGAGGAGATATTACTTGATGTTGGGGAGGGGTTAAGATGAGTCTACATCTATTTTGATTGGGGTTGCTGAATGAATTTTCCCTCTATCCACAGAGATTTGAGACCGTAGTGTTTGTACAAGTTCATTCTTTCTTGGGGTTATGACTGATGTGAGAAAAATGATGGCAGCTTCACATGCAGGGCCTAAATTTGTGTCATTAGGGCCTTGTTGATTGGAATGTTCTTCCAGATTTAAAACATTTCCCCCTTTTGTGAGAAGGAAACATGTGCATTATGGACCTCTAAGAGGTCTCTTCTGAGGATGTGTACAGGAGTGGAAGGAAGAAGGAGAAAGGAATGTGTCTCTGTGACAGGGCCAAGTTGGAATGGAGTGGGTTGAGATTTAAAAACAGTCATAGGGTTCTTAGAAACTCCCACCATTGAAATTGTTTTAGTACTCCACAGAAGAGAATGTTTCAAAGTGCTGGGATTGAGAACAGAAAGAGTGGTACCCCATATGAATTAAAGCTCTGTCTGCTCTCAAACAATGGTGAATTCAATTTCTCCAGAATGTTAGTGAGAAGAAAGGGAGAAACCCCAGGTATTTCCTTGGAGCAGCCCTAGGTGAGACAGAAAGGAAATTGCATAGGACCTTTGTTTGGAGAAGGGCTAGCAGGATTTTGTTTTCTCTCTGAGTGATTTTCTGAATTTATAGCAAGCTCTTTTAAAATTCCCAGGCTTTTTTTGCAATAATAGCAAAGGTACCTTTGAAGGTCTTCTGTGTTGGAGGGTCTTTCATTGTAAGACTGGAGGCGTGTTGGCCTTTTTTGGCCAGTCAATTGCTGAAGCTGTAAACTCATTATTTGAGTAGCCTTCTTCTTGGCTATTTTTGTATGGTCTTGGACAGATGCTGTGCCAAACTGCATAAATCACGGGCATCCATGGCTGCCCAATTTCACTGATGCCTTCTAACTAAAGTGTCAAGTTCTTAATCTAAACCGTTCATGAGTTGGTATTAACATCTTCCATCCCTGAATACTGTTTGAAAGTTTTTTGAAACCTTTCAAAGAATTCAAGTACAGGCTCCTTAGGTTTTGAGTACACAGTTGGATATGTTTCAATCAGTAATATTTGGGGAAACTTCTGGAATAACCAGTAAAGGGTTTTGGCTAAGCCTTTGGCCCTATCTTGATCTTCAGTTGTTTTCTTTTGGAAGTCTTCTATAGGTTTTTTCCAATCCATCTTATTAAGCCATTCTTTTGCTCTGCCTTCCCTTACCAGCATGTGTATAAGTTGATTAGGACCAGAATAGCTTGGTTCATAGGTTTGTATAAGAAGATTAAATTGTTTGGCAAAGGAAATGAGGTCCAAAAAGGATCACAGAATTCTTTAGCTATAGCCCTAAGTTCACGTTTACTCCATGGGACAAAGACAATAAAAGGTTCAGGTGGACTTCGTTTTAATAGGGGCTGCCAGGACAGGGGGGTTGAGTGGGGTTTAGGCTCAGGAGTGTTAACTGATGGAGGAGGAGGAGGAGGGTGTCTGGTGGAGAAAGAGAAGAGAGGGAGTAAGTTAAAAAGGGAGTTTGGAAAGAGGTGCGTAAAGGAATGGAGAAGAAGGTGCAGAATTGGGAGGGGAATGGGAGTGGGGTAAAGAATTTCATGATTTCTTAAGTTTATAAACAGCCTGAGTCAATTTTTAATTACAGCTTGGAGGGAAGCAATTTCCTCAGTATTATGTTTAGAGGCCTCTAAATATCAATTAAAACATGCTTTCTGAGACCTCCCTTGTGGCACAGTGGTTAAGAATCTGCCTGCCAATGCAGGAGACATGGGTTTGATCCCTGGTCCGGGAAGACCCCACATGCCACGGAGCAAGTAAGCCCGTGCGCCACAGCTACTGAGCCAGCGTGCTGCAACTACTGAAGCCCACGCTCTGCAACAAGAGAAGCCACCGCAATGAGAAGCCTGTGCACCGCAACGAAGAGTAGCCCCTGCTTATCGCAACTAGAGAAAGCCTGTGTGCAGCATTTTATTATTTGTTATTTTTAATAATAAATTTAAAAAATATGTTTTCCATTAATTTTTCTGTTTCTGGTATTTTTTTCTAGGCATGCATGAAGATTGACAAATTTGGGAATTTCAAAATCTTCCCATTTTGGCCAGGGCAATTTAAAATCATACCAGGTTAAATGGACCCATTTAGATAGGTCGTTACAGGATGAGGGCCCATAGGTGTTAAACACAAA